AATATTACGTGTAAACGATGTCTAAAAGCTCAGCGGCCTTAACGCACTCAAAGTCGTACATAGAATATGATTCAGAAGCAATCCTTTTATTATTTTTCGCCGCTAAGAATTACATTTTTATTATTAACTTTTTTTTCTCAAACTCTTACCATCATATTCCCGACATAATTCTGATTAAAATGAGACCAAACGCGACGTAATTCACAACGTACTTACTCGTAACGACTTGCTACGTATTACATATCGTAGGACACTAACTAAATATTTTTCAATTGTGAAATTTATTTTTAAATGTGAAAAACACACACACAAAAAAAAAGAATTATAGAAGCATCGCTTCCGAAAGATATTCCATGGCGCGTTAAAATTTTGCCTGCCACCGATATCATACGACACCAGAGGAAGCGATGACGTCACCCGACGTTTCACTTTTCGCAACGCTTTCGCGTCACACTTGCGCGTTACGCTTTTCAGCCGAAGCCTCCGATAAAACGTATTCCGTGTTAAAAGATGCGAATATTTTTTCTGATCGTTATCTGACCAACGAAAGTATTATTCCGACGCCTCGCGATATTCCCTGATGGAATAGTTTCACTTAGACTCGAATAGTAGGTTCTCGTTTAAAACGAACGCGCGAATAATGCGAGGAAAATTAATCGGCGATTCGATTACGCTCGCCATTGGTAACCGGTGACCCGTGCGATACGGGATTTAAATGTGGACGAACCGATGACTCCGCGAGAGACCCACGGCCTTCGCTCGATATCCGAAAATAATCACCGTCCGTGTCGCTCTGCATATCACCGCCATTAGAATTTGCATTTCAACGGAATACGAATAAACGCTGCAAACGGCGCGCGAAGAATAGAACGACGTTACGCTATCCGTAGTTGGATTCCCGATAAAATAAGCTCGTGCTTTTTGTTAACTTTGTTTGGAACAATATAAAATACGCGTATCGAGTGACGCAGTCGAGATGCACCGACGTACGTTTAGAGGAAGAGGTGCGCGCGAGAAAGTAAGGGGAAACGGACGGACATAGTCAGACACCCACCGAAATCGCTCGCAATTTTTCCAACACGAATCGCTCAACGAACTGTTTGCATTTTCAACGGAATACGAATAAACGCCGCAAACGGCGCGCGAAGAGTAGAACGACGTTACGCTTATCCGTAGT